CAAGATGCTATGTAGTGTTTGCAAAGACTCACTATAGTATAAAATGTAGGCAATATAAACGACTAAGTATGAGTAAAAGATCGAACAGTTAAACTAATACAGTAATTATGCAAGTCCTAACAGTTGAAGTAACATAGTAATTGAGCAAGTTCTAAGAATTGCACCCTTGAGTCTGACTTTATAGCGGATTAAAATTCAGGCTATGCCAAACTGTGAATATCTCCTAACATGGTCTTAGCTTACCGCCAATGCAGATGAGTAAGAGCTGAAGATATTCTGCCGAAATTCTTTCAGGGCTTTTTTAAATACAACATCCACTAATGTATCCTTCTTGCTGTCTTCATTATCTAGGTCATTCATCTAGGGACCAGTCACAGAAAAATTAACAACTCATCCAAAAGATATAAATGTAATAGTTGAAATGTCTCTTAAGCAATTACTCTTCTAAAATTACAAGCCACTGGCCATCACAGAACTTAAGGACAGTATACCAGATCACATAGGTTCCCTTCTAACATGTTGATTCTATAGTTCTTTTACACAACTACAAATATGCAATAAGCTTCATCTTCATATATGACAATTATGAAATCACAATGGAGACTAAAACTTTAAATCCTGTCTGTGTATTTCCTATTATCTAAACCTCAATGCCTGAGTTATTAAAGAAATTTTAACCCGTCTTTTCACAACAACATATCCTGTATACACAAGTATTCTTAAGTCAAATCTGCTCGAAGGCTAACTCAGCAAGCAAAGTGTACCTTTTTCAGAAGAAATTCATCCATACTTTTTAAATCACTGGCACTTGTTATGATTTGGACAGAGTCATTTTGCCAATGCATAGAATCCAAGGCCACGTTGCTGATTTTCACACCTCTTTTGCGCTTTGCTTTTGGAGAAGGCTCCTTATTCTCTTTGAACTCTTTTCGGCAACTCCCAGGCAGTTCTGGGCTCAAAGGAGGTGTTGGGTGATACTGAGTTAATTCTACAATTCAAAACAGGTTAAGTAAAAAGATATAGTTAGTTAAAAAAAAAAATTGAACATCTTCATCCTTACTGTAAAAACACTTAGTACCAAAGATGAATAAAAAGAATATGCAACAAACTAGCATATTAAATGCTGCTCATCCAGTTGTAACTTTGTTATACTTGTTTGAAGGAGCATCCAGTTAAATGTAAGTCTAACCAACTAACAAGGAGAATTTGATAATTATAACTTTTATTACAGTCTAAATTCATGAACCCATCAACAATACTGCCTGTTAATAGTTAACAACTTGTTAGAGAATCAAGTAGTAGCTTATCTGGCTTGCTTTGCTCTTATATAAATGACATCTGCTTATAATGTATATTTTTAGTTAATAAGCCTTATCACTCCTCTTGAAAGGAATTATATTAGAATATAATAACTGAAAATGATAAGTTTATAATGATATTAAGAAAATGAACACTTGAGTAATGCAACGGGGGCAATGAAGTTTTCCCAAACAGAGTCAGGATTAGAAAAACCACAGAATTTGGCTGTCCTGGAGCTCTCTCTGTAGAACAGGCTGAAGATCCTTCATTTTAAGAATTGATTTGGTAAGGTATTTTGCCATAGCAATGAGTAAGGTAACTAACATGGTAAATATCTGACAGGTATTACAATGGCTAAGAATGGGAACTCTGTGCCAAGCTGGAGTCAGGACTGTCTCAAATTCAAGGCCACCTAGGTTACAGTGTAAGACTTCTTTTTTTAAAAAAAAAATGTGATTCTTTCTGAGTGTGGTAGTGCATTCCTTTAATCCCAGCATCCAAAAGAGGAAGAGGAAGATCTCTGTTGAGTTCAAAACCATCCTGATCTATATAGTTCTAATCTATATAGTCAAAGCTACAGAGAGAAATTATCCTAAAAACAAAACAAAAAACCACAAGAAAAACAAAACAATAGCAACAACAACAACAAAAGCAATAATTCTAGAGTTCGAATGCTTTGACTCAAATCCAAATCGTCTCATTTCAATATGTGTAAATAGATAACAACTTGTACTTTGGTGTTCACAACTACAAACCAAGAATAATAAGCATAGCAAAACCAGAAAAACTATTCTGAAAAATCAATAGATTTAATATATATAACACATTTATTATGGTTTTACATAGCACTCAATGGGTGCTGTGAGCTAATGCTATGAATTACTAAGGGTATTCTGTATTTATGATATAAGTGAATCTAGGTTAAATCTTTACAATTTAGAAAACAATGATTAGGGCTGGGGATGCAGCTCATCGGCATGCACAAGGCTGTGGGTTCAAACCCCAGCATTACCAAAAAAAGAAAACAAAGGCTAGTCCAAGACTCATCATCACTGAAGTGGTTTGCTTCACTGTTCTAAACCAGGTATTCTTGGAGCTTCTCATACAAGTAGAGTATGCCTTGCTTTACTAAGAAAGGAAGCATTTGCCAACACTAGTCCTATCTCATTAAAATATCATTCCAAGAAGATTGTCGTTATGAAGAAAAAGGCACAGCACACTTTCAGAATGAGTAACAGAAATTAAAGAAGCTCCATTCTTTGTCCATTTTTACCATCTGAAAAGGGATTAGCCGATGTCCCATCTGAGCCAGGAAAGAATGACGAGACCTCTGACTGGGGAGCAGGTTTTACTCTAGTAGTCTTCTTCTCTCCTTGTTTACCTTTGGCCCAGAATCTCATCTTCGCTCTCTGGGGTCTGTTTTTAAAGCAAAATAAAGGTAAGACAGAAATCAGATGTTCCAGTAATATTCAGGTATCCTCTTAAGCTTTATATACTTTTCCTATGTAGTAATCTATTTTAATTTTGGTGTGTATTTGGGAGAGCAGTACAAGGTATCAAACTCCTGGTTGGACATATGCTAGGCAACACTACTACTGAGCCACACATCCCAATTCCTCATCTTGAATATAAAATACAAAAACCTGACAAATTAAATAATTTGATAGGCCAGGCGGTGGTGGCAAAAGCCTTTAATCCCAGCACTCAGGAGGCAGAGGCAGGAGGATCTTTGTGAGTTCGAGGCCAATCTGATCTACAAGAGCTAGTTCCAGGACAGGCTCCAAACCTACAGAGAAACCCTGTCTCGAAAAACAAAACAAAAACAAAAAATCATTTGATAGGGGCTGGAGAAATGGCTCGGCGGTTAAGAGTACTGACTGTTCTTCCAGAGGACCCGGGTTCAATTCCCAGCACCCACATGGCAGCTCACAACTGTCTGAAAATCCAGTTCCAGGGGATCTGACACCTTCACACCAATGCACATAAAATAAAAAAGATAAATAAATCATAAGAAAGAAGATGAGGCGAATTCAACATGGCCCTCCTAGAGCCATAAAAAAGAATCATTTGATAAAATAAATGTCTCAAAACAGTGAAACTAGGATTTCAGCTTAAGCTTCTTGATATCAAACTTCATCTTTTCATTGTTATATCTCATATGAAGCTTACAAAAAAGAAAACACATTTAAAGAAATAACTAACAACTCTAAAAAAAAAGTTCCTTTATATCGTTAGCAATTTCTTTCTAATCTTTGTCCATATGTATCTTAATTTTTACTCACTAAAATCATGATTTCAAAGTAGTTTTAAATCTGTCTGCTCCCTAGTACACTATGAAAGTTTTAATGATTCTATTTACATTGAGGTGTCTGCTATAATTAACCACAGACACTACTCATTTGAAAATTTGCTAAGGGCATAGTGTAGAGTGCTTATATAGTTATTACTTTAATTACATTTCAGGTTGCACATCAATAACTTAAAAAATATAATCTAAATCCTAACTGCTCTAAAATAAAAAAACTTTTGAGTGTTGATATGAGGGCAGAAGTGAAGAACTCATTTTGACAGCATCTCACAAGATGCCCTGGCTGACCTTAAACTCTATAGCTCAGACAAGCCTTGAACTTGTGTTCATCCTGCCTCACCTTCAAGAAACTAGGGTTAAAGGTCTGTGCCACTAGGTTGGGAAGTTTGTTACACTATAATGCCTCTTTTTAGTGACAGATACCCTCTTTTTTTCATGTAAAACAATGAAATAATAATAGTTCATAAATACTGACACAACAAGTATTCTAATTTTGTACTGGGGGGGCTGATTAGTGTATTACTTTGTAAATGAACATATAGACTGAAGTTGAAAATTTTCAGCGCCTATGAGGTTAAAAAGCCTATATCTAATTTTCACAGTTAAAAAGATAAAAAGGCATTATTATTTGTATTTTACACCTGAGTAAATTTTAGGCTCAGAAAACCGATTGAGATAGAAGTTAAAACCAGATTTTTGCTGCCACCCTGTAAGGTGTGCCTTTCTCAGGTTTTCCTACTTGGTTAATATTTGCTTTTTCTCAACTATTAAGACATTTGTGTGTTTGATTTTTGTCTGTTTTGTTTCATCCTTTGTGGGTTAGGTTAAAGTAGGGCAAATAAAATGGAAATTAAATTTATATACTTAACTACCTTTAATTATATGTCCTTTAGTCTATTGTATCTTCTTTTTCAATTCTGATTTGTGGCATAATCTTTTTTATTTTAAGTTCCTTGTAAATTCCTCTACAGTCTATAAAAAGTGGTCTACAAAAACTTTTTTTTTCAAAAACATTTTTTAAACATACATGACATCTTCACTAAGGGCCCAAATGCTTATATAATATTTTTAAAGGTATTTATTTAAAAATAAAAATCCCATGAGCTCTCTCTTTGTGTGTGTGTTTGGGTGTATGCATCTACCTGTCCATGCCAATGAATATTCCTATGTGTACCAGAGGCCAAAGGAGGATTTCAGGTGTCTTGCTCTACATTTCTCTGTCTTATTCCTTGAACCTAGAGCCTAGTCTAGAGACTAGCAAGTCCCGGTGATGTTTCTATCTCTAATCTCTCCATAGTACAAGGCTACTGCTGTGACAATGATCAAGCACATATATATAAAGTGTATGAGTATTTTAAAGGCCTGCAATTTATGTATGTGTATTACCAGATTGTCTACTGTCCTTGGAGGCCAGAAGAGGGCAACTGATTCTCTGGAACTGAAGCAAAACAACTGTGGAACAGCGTTGTAGGCACTGAGAACTGAACACCAGTCCTTTGCAAAAGCAGTAAGTGCTAATAACTGCTAAGCCATCTCTTCAGCCCCAGACTTTTTTTTTCTTTTTTCTTTTTTTGGTAAGGTGTGTATTTTTGTTTATTTTTGAGACAGGATTTTTCTGTGCAGCTTTGGAGTCTGTCCCTGCACTTACTCTGTAGACCAGAACTCACAGAGATCTGCCTGCTTCTGCCTCCCAAGTGCTGGGATTAAAGGAGTACACCACCACCACTGCCCAGTATGGGTATATATTTTAATTCAAATCCTCATTCTTCCTGAGCGAACTTGTTGCAGCTTCACCTTAGCTCCCCATAAGCACTTTTACAGAGAAGAAAATTATTTTTTGAAAGTATTTTCCTAAAGCACTTAGTGCAGAATATATTACAAGTTCAAAGATAGAAGATAGCAATCTCATCCTATTTAATCTCTTTTCTTTTACAATATATTATTGTAAGTTATATAATGATTAAGAAATCTCCCCCAAAATACACTGCTACCCACACAAGATAAAGCTCAGTATATACTATTATGTACTTGGCAATGGAATTACTCATTTCCTAAAAATTAAAGTAAAAGCCTTTGGGCCATGGCAGCCATATTCCAGTGACACATCAAAATGACAAACACAGAGGGGAAGAGGAGCAGCACCTGCTCTGTGTTCTCTAGACCTTTCTTTAAAGAACATGGAGGGTAATAATGTAAACAACAAGGGAGTGAGCACTGTTCAAAAAGAAATGCCTTACAAGGTTGCCGTGGATCTAGCATGCCAAGGGCATCACTGTATACAAGATAAGGGCTAGATTCTTGCAAAGAGAGTTGATATGAGGATTGAATCTACTAAGCACTCCTGAAAAAAGCTTCTTGAAACAGATGAAGGAAAATGATCAGGAAAAAAAAAAAAAAAGGAAGCCAACTGAAGCACCAGCCACCAGCCTGCTCTACTAAGAGAAATATAATGTCATAATGTATGAGAACTAACAGAAAGGTTAGTTCCTGGAGCCCATGTCCTATGAATTCATGGCTTAGTATACAAAGAGAAATAAAGGAACTAGATTGTAAATTGCTTCTTTTTAAAAAAAAGCAAATAGCTTTAATTAAAAACTCAGTATATAAATTATTAAATAAAATCATTGAAATTAGTTATTCCTATTATTTTTTATAAACATACCTTATGTCCAAATCTGAAGACTTCTGTCTTACTGCCAATTTTGTAATCTCTCCTTGAGACATAGCCTTATGGAGCTTTGATTGCTCATCAACTGAAGAAAATCGTTGTGATGTCTGTAGGAATTACACATGAGATAGACTTAAAGCCAAGTAAACACATAATAGTATGACTGAATTACAACTCAGCAAACCGTCAGTTCACATTTCCTGGCAATTTAGCAAGACTCTCATCTGATAAGTTAGGAAAATGGTCAAGACCATTCAAAGACAAATTTAAAAGAATATGAGGCTGAGAAAGAAGATAACACAGAATATTATTTTTCTACACCTCTTTTTATTTGTGGCTTAAGGGATCCTTTTTACAGGTTAGAGATTATTGTTACATCCATTCAAAGTTTAAAAAGCTAGGCTGGCCAGGCGGTGGTGGCGCACGCCTTTAATCCCAGCACTAGGAAGGAAGAGGCAGGTGGATCTCTGTGAGTTCGAGGCCAGCATGGTCTACGAGAGCTAGCTCCAGGACAGGTTCCAAAGCTACAGAGAAACTCTGTCTTGAAAAAACAAACAAACAAACGAACAAACAAAAAAAGCTAGGCCACACTGAATAAAAACCAAATGATCACCGATGTTCTAAATTATAAACAACTATGTTATCAAACAAGGACTTCAATTTCATTTAGCAATTAATGTACTCCTCTAAGGACAATTCAGTTCTGAGAATTCTTGTTACTTATTCAAGTAATATTCTTGTATTTCATCTGTTAAAATATCCCTTAGCCTTTTGATATGCTTGACTATGGCACAGAAACAGAAAATAACCAGAGTTGTTAAAGACAGATGTCTGTGGCTAATATAGAATGCAGTAAATCCGCATCTAAGGCATAAAAACAGACAGAAAATAGTTTTGAAGACAAGTGGTAAGAAACAAAAGAAGGTAACTTATACCTGCCTCCGCTTACTACCTCAGGGTATCACTACTAACCTCTGTGCTGTGACACAGAGAGGGAGACCCAGGGGAAATTTGCTAGACTCCTTTAGCTAACATATGAGGATAAACGTTCATGGCAACCAAAGTAACTAGTGAGCAAATAACAGAGATGAATAATAGAAGAAATCTAGAGATCTAGAAAAGGTTCCCTTTTCATTTTTGGATTAGTAATAACCAACACTATTATATGTGAAAACAACCCAAGACCAAGGATAGAAAAGCCTGAAATGATTAAAGATAAAGTTAGTAATGATGTCAGGGCTCAAGAGCCGGGAACTGAACTCTATGCTGCACAGGCTGCTAAGTACACAGATGAACGTGCCTCAGTAGTCAAGAATAATTACCCTCCAATGAGTACTGATTGGGTCTACTGATTTTGAAAGGCCTGAGAAAAAAAACCAAACAGTTTCCAGAACAAAGCTCTAGAACATTACCAGAAAACCATAGTATATAGAATACTAATTGGGAGAAAGATACTTCAACTAACCAGAAAAAAATTCAATTATAAAAAGAAATATAAAGAAGTAGGAATATATGATCCAGAACAAGAAAAATCAAGCCATTTACACTGACTGAAAAGCTTTTCAATTAGAAGGATATTAAAATAGCAATCATAATTGTACTCTACATGATGAAAAAGAGAAATGGAAAGCAAAAATTGATGTAAAAGAGTCAAAATTCCAGAGATGAAACATCAAGATCAGTTTTAAAAAAGATTTTTTTCCTGTCATATACTATGTAATGATATTTCTATGAAGTTCTAGAATAGTGAGTGGTTGTTTCTTGAGAGTAGTGTGAGCGCAACTTGAGTAGAAACATGAGAAAATTGTTAATATTACAGAAATCTTGACAATTGAATCATGTTTCATAGTTTTGTACATATCCCTCAAAAGAACAAACTGCCCAATGAAGATCTGTAAAGGTCTTTGTATGTACTAGACCTCATTCATGAATAATTTTAATAAATAATAGTAATAAATCAATTATCTAGTCAATAGCATCCAATCATACAATTTTAAAGATAAAAGATGTAGCACTTGATATGTGACTTAAAAGAATATATTCACTACCTATATAACTATGTTTCTCAAAAGAACTTTAAACTCAAATGTCAGTCTAACTCTAGAATTGCATGGGCATTTATCTCGGTGCGTGCACACGCGCACGCACGTGTGTGTGTGTATACATAATTTTTTTCTCGGAAAAATAATGTGTAGACTTTATTTTTGGTTCAAATTCATATATACTGCTAATCTACAAGTTTACTGTTTAGCCTTGCTTGGGATACAGAATATGCACGCTGGCATAGCTATAGAACAGAACTGAAGATGACTGGTTATAAGATGTAGACACTGAAAGAAAAGAGGAAAAAAAAGAAAAAAGAAATTATAGACTTGAGAGATCCTCAATCCATAAAGTGCTTTCCGAGCAAGCATGAGGACCTGAGCTCTAGCTCCAGAACCCAAACAACTGATGACGACGACGACGATGATGACACACCAGACAGAGTGGTGTACACTGGAAAGGGAGCAACTGGCTGATTGCTGGTGCTTGCTAGCCAGCAAGCCCCACAAATCAGTGAATTTCAACCCCAATTAAAGATCTCTCTCACAAAATTTAATGTAGACCACAACTGAAGATCAACACCTACAGTTAATGGTTATGCTCCACTCAAGGCACACAAGCACCAATGTGCGTGACACACGCAAACACCAAAGTACAGAGGGTACTTGGAAGGCTGAGACTTTGCTGTTTCTAAAGAAAGACGGCTATACGGCAATTCAGTAGTGGTATGGTGACTCTGCTCCATGGCTCTAGGAGGATCCAGAGAAACATGAATTTTGTGCTAGGAAATCAGACCAGAGCAGAGCAAAACTTTGAATATCAGGCCTTTTCTTCTAATATATGAATAATAAACCTAAATATTTTTCCTTCTCTGCAGAAGAAGAAAGAAGATAAGGTGGCCTAAAATGGTGGCATGAACTGAAAGAATTTAAACTGCCTAGAGATTTTTTTTTTATCAAGGTAGACTCTGATCCAACTGGGCCAATGACAGCTGATGTAGTAAATCCTTCTGAAGAGGTGGGCTCTACCACATTGGGGTCATCCTCTAAGGCCTCTTATATGAAAAACCACACCCACCAAGCCACTGTTGGTGCTAACCCTAGAAGATGCCTGTATACATACTTTTCAGTTGTTTTTTTGTGTGAGAGTGTTGGTTTGTGGGGTGAGTGCAGTGTCTGGGAATGTGTGAGATGCTCCTGGAGCTGGACTTACAATCAGTGGTGAGAGGCTTGACAAAGGTGTTGGGAACTGAATATAAGTTTCCTGCAAGAGCAATACAAGAACTACTAAGCCATCTTTCCAGCTGCATTATTTTGTTTTGTTTTCTCTGTGTAACAGTCTTGGCTGTCCTAGAACCAGCCCCGTTATTTTAAGTTAGGGACTCACTATGTACCCCTTGCTGGCATGGAACTTACTACATAAGTCAGACTGGTCTGGAACTCACAGAGATCCACCTGCTTCTGCTTCCTGAGTGCTAGAAGTAGAGCTGTGTGCCACTCCTGGTCCCCTCTTATATTTCTGATATCTGGTAAATGCTATTTTAAATAATGGCACAAGTTTACCATTGGAAAATTGTAGAACTGGAGAGAAAACTCAAGACAAAATGGCCTTACATTCCCAAATAAGTATAATTGCCAGAGGGTGAAAAAGTAATACTTTAAGATATTCAACCTATAAACTCATGTTGTTTAAATATATAGTGAATTCTCAAAAAACTATTAAAGTAGAACAAAAAATACATAAAACCTAGTAAACAACTGCAAATAAGAATGTACTCAAACTTCAAATTACCCAGA